GGGAGCCGAGCCAGCAGCAGAGCAAATGATGGAAGACCGAGACCTGAGGGACCAGGCGAACAACGCCGCCAGCGGCCCCACCCCCGTGCGCCTGACGTCATCGCGTCACGTCCCCGGCAGGCCCCGCCCCCTCAAGCTGCGATGAAGGCGTGCCCAGGGCCCCCTTAGTGCTCCTGCGGGAGTCCGCAGTAGGTGTTTTGCGCTTCTTCTAGAACGTCAGTTATAGTGAGAGCCACGGATGAGGGAGTGGCGTAGTTAGGCGGATGATTATAGGCCGTAGAACTTGTACAGGTCCGCGAATGAACGGTGAGACAAGACGCAGTAGCCTCCTAAAGGGCTGAGCGAATAACAGACATGCATCCCCACCTCCACCCCTCCAAAGGACTAAATATCTCCTATATGACGCCCTGGACAGTTGATACCAAAGCACAGAATCCCAAGGGACCGGGAGACTAACAGACGCCCGGCTCCCAGGTACCTGTGGAGGCATCTGCCTGTCTCTGCTAATCTCCCTGGCCCTTCATTTTCTTTTTCTTTCTTTCTTTTTTTTTTTTTTTTTTTTTTGCGGAACCGGGGATTGAACTCAGGCCCTTGCGCTTGCCAGGGAAGCGCTTATTCCAGTGAGCTATCTCCCCGACCCCCTTCATTTTCTTATAAGAGGTGTGTATCATGAGGAAGATACTTGTGGCAGGATAGACCCGTGAGTCACTTTCTGAGTGTAAGGAACTCGAAAGTGTACCCCCCACACACACACACACACATCTAAAGGAACTTATAGGGCTGGCCAAGTAGCTCAGTGGATTAAAGCACCTGCAAGCAGGCACAGGGCCGCAGGTGTTCGACTCCTGGATTCATCCCTGGGCTTGCCTACTGTGCCGGCCCCACCCCCCGAGGCACACTGAAATAACAATTGAGACTGGGCGGGGTGCCGCGCGCCTAGAATCCCAGCAGTTGGGAGACTGCAAACAGGAGAATCACTACAAATCCAGTCTAGTAGTGAGACCCTGAACACCCTGGAGACCCTTCCCTAAAATACAGGGAAAAAAAATTTTAAAAATAATAATAATAAAGGAACTTGTGGCAAAACACACTCGTCCGTTAAGCCTCCGACACAGATTTTTTTAAATGTTCTAAGCAACAATTAACTCCTCGGGCGGCGAGATAGCTCAGCAGTCTAAAGCGCTCAGCAGTCTAAAGCGCCTGCTTAGATAAGCTTAGGCAGGTGCAGGGAACCACTGTTCGATCCCCAGCACCGTATGCCGCTCCAGCCCCGCCCTCAGCGTGAGCTGAGACAGCAAAAAAAAAAAAAAAAAAAAAAAAAAAAAAAAAAAAAAAATTACCTCATAAGTCTAGTAGTTGTTGACAGCTTCCCTGTGTTTCTTATGTCCCTGTCATCAGGAAGACAGTTATGGGCATTGAGCAGCAGACAAAGATTAGCCTGGGCCAATAGAGAGCAAGTGAGTTACACACACACACACACACACACACACACACACACACACAGCAGAAGTCAGGGGAAGGTGTGAGTGATATTTTTATACACTTGAGCCCCAGCACATGGTATGGTCTCCTCATAAGATGCACTGGTAAGAACCTAAGGGACTGAACTCTGCTTTGATGTGTCAGCCAGGGGCCTGTCAACCCCATGGCTAATACCAGCACCGCACATCAGATTTTGGTGAGGCTAGCTTTGGGAAATGAAAGGCGAGGGTCCCTTCCCCAAGCTATCGTTTCTCTCTCTCTCTCTCTCTCTCTCTCTCTCTCTCTCTCTCTCTCTCTCTCTCTCTTATTGAGCTTGCCAGGTAGACACTGTACCACTAAGCTATCTCTGCTAACCTATCTCCATGGCCCTCCATTTTCTTATAAGAGGTGTATATTCGTGAGGAAGATACTGCATGCAAAGAAAAAAAAAAAAAAACCACCACCACTTTTTACAAGAACTGGACATTGAGCTGATGTCTTTGGCCACATAACATTCTTAGAGGCAGTTACAATGACGTGTCAACCTTTGTAAATAGGAGTGTCAGTGTGAGTAAACAGCAGGCTCCCCCTGCTCTTAGAGGCTGACACTTTCAGAGATGGAAGGTAGGCATTCTGAGAGCCAAACACTTCTACCACTGTGACATTGTTCCCCTGACCAATGTGCTAAAAAAACACTACATGGAAAGCATATGCCTTCCTACTTGGACTGTAACTGGGCTGGATCTGAGTTTCCCAAATGTAATGCAACCTGCTATATCAGGCTTGCTGACTCCCATTGCAGAAAATGACTTTTCAGGACTTGTCAGAAAGTAGAGTTTATTGGTCAAACAATATAGTACTCAAGAAAGTGAATGCAGATTCTCAGAGATATTAGATACCTTATAGTTTGGAACTAAATGCATTTATACTGTTCTTGCAGAGATGAAAAGGTAGGGGGGAAAGTGCCTGCATACCCTCCCCCCAAAAAGATACCAGCTCATTTGCAGGCATGTTTTTTTAATTGATTAAATATTTTCTAGATTCACTGATCTTTTGTTTACTCTCTTAATTGGGTCATTTTATGGCCTTTTACTTTATTATTTTATGATGGCCCTTATTTTATTTATTTTTATTTTTACTTTTAGCACCAGGAATAGAGCTCACAACCTTGTGCTTGCCAGGCAGATGCAGTGCCCAAGAGCCGAATCTCTGGCCCATTTATGACCTTTTAATAGCAGGCCTGCTAGGAAAGACACTGAAAACCCTGATGAGGGTATTAGTCTGACCTACTTGGCAATATGGCAGCACATGGATGCAAAAGAAAAACAAAGAGACTATTCCGCAGTTGAGGAGTTCTGGCATGATCCAATGTTCTTTCTGGAACAAAGAGCCTCATTTGCAAAAGTTCACAGTATCAGTCAGGGAGGTGGGTGGGGGTCAAGGCAGAGTATATAGGGATAAGAAACTCAGAGGCTTCCAATTAGCAATGCTCAGATAGTTTGGAGATACGCAAGTCTGAAAGGGCTTTATTTATCAGGAAAGAACTGTCTTCAGTTCTCCACATGAAAAGATATGAATGTAGCCAAGGAGTGTTGGCATGGGAGGGGTCTTGGGTGATTTTTAGCTAACTCCTAGAAGTTGTAGCCTTCTTATAAAGTACATTTTTTTTTCATTCATGTATTTGTACAGGGTCTCACTACACAACTTGGACTTACAGTGATCCTCCTGTTTTCAGCACCCCCACCCCAGCACTGGGATTGGAGGCGTGCACCGCCACGCCCGAACTTGGTGACTAGCTCAGCATGCTCCAGGTGGCAGGGCCAGCACAGCATGTGGGACTGAGGATGGAACCTTGGTTCCTGAGCTTGCCAAAGCAGGCTCTTTAGTCTGCTGAGCTATCTCTCCAGCCCAAAGTACAATTTTTAGGCTAGGCATAGTGTCACATGCTTCTAGTCCCAACACCTGGGAGTCTGAAGCAGGAAGATCACACCACAAATTCAAGGCCAGCCTGAGCTATATAGTGAGACCCTGTTTTAAAAAAAAAAAGAAAGAAAAAAAATTTTTAGCTATGCTTTTCTTTCTTTCTTTCTTTCTTTCTTTCTTTCTTTCTTTCTTTCTTTCTCTCTTGATAAGCAGTTCAGACTAGCCTTGAGCTCACTTTGCAGCTCAGGCTGGTCTTGAACTCATAATAAGCCTCTTGCCTCAGCCTCCTGAGTGCTGAGATACAGGTGCATGCCACTACACCCACTTTAGTTATGATTTTCTTGTCTCCTTTCTTCTTATCTCTTACTCCTATCCTAACTCATCCCTCTCCCAGGCTTTGATCCCATGTCCTTAAGGGGGAGTGCAGAAGTCCCAATCACCCTACTTTATATAACTGCTCCATACTGAGGAGGGGCACTGACCCTGCTTAACCAGGGACAAAAGTCCTGTCCTGTATGATCTGAAGGAGATCTAAGAATACCAGGATTTATAGTTTGTCAAAGCATCACTCTTTGATAGTTTGAAAGAGAGGGCAGGAGCATGCAAGAAATTAACTCACAACAATAAAAGAATTTCAACATGAAAGCATTTCAATGCACAGTATCATAGCAAAAGAAATGAGAATTCTTCGGGCATGGTGGCTCATGACTGTAATCCCAGCACTGAAGAAGCTGAGACAAGAGAATCACCTGGAGTTCAAGGCCACCCTGGGGGGGGGGGGAGAGAGACAGAGACAGAAAGTGACAGACAGACAGAGAGACAAAGACAGAGACAGAGAGAGACAGAGAGACAGACACAGACACAGACCATTTTTTTCTATGGGGCTGTTCCAGAAAACAAGGATACTAGCTAGTCACTGATGCTGATCTGAGAACATAGCTCTTATAATGCAGAAGACACACTTGGAGAGTTGTCAGAAATGTACACAATATTTTGATTTTATACGTAC